GCGCTGCGACGTGAGCACGTTGCCGCCCACCACCGCCGCCTCGGGCGACGGGTCCAGGATGGAGCCTTGGGGAATCACTACGCGCACTGGCGCCAGGCAGCCCTGTGCGGGGAGGGCGGCTCTCAGGGGCTCTTGGGGTGGGCTCCAAGAGAAACAGCACCTCCGCGCCCCAACACCCAAGGGGTCAGTCCGTGGCTGGGCCCCGGAGGCGCACTCAGGGTGACCTCGGGCTGGGGCCCGCCCTCGCTCACACACCCCTGCGAACCTGGTTGAGCGGGATGTCGCGGCCCACCAGACAACGCAGGCAGTAGATGAGGGCGGACAGGGTTATGGCCCGCGGTGCGTTGAGATTACCGAACACCTCCGGCCCAGTGCCGCTGAAGTCAAACACAGCGCTGCCCTGCGCACCGGAGGGAAGAGAGAGGCAGTCAGCAGCTGCGCCATGCCCCTGCCGCCCAGAAGCGCCATCCCTGCGGCCCACCTGACTCAGGTTGATCTGCACGCGAAGGCGGATAGGGGAACCGTCGTCCATGTGGTCTTCCGAGGACACCTCCAGGGGCAGGCCCCGGGCCTGCCGGGAGGTTCCAAAGGCACGCAACATGTCGCGCACGGCCAGCTCAGCGTTCGCCTGGCAGGGAGCAGGATCAGTGGCAGCCAGGCCACCTGCAGGATGGCCCTGCTGCCCACACTCCTGTGCCCAGGCCCACCTGAATATGGCCCATGTAGGCCTGCACCACGTCCAGGCCGTACTGCCCAATGAGCTCCCCCACCAGCTGGATGCCCTTCTGGTTGGCTGCCACCTGGGCACGGAGGTCCGACAGGTTGTCATGCAGGTTTCTGGTTCCGCTACAGTTGGGGACCTTGCCTGGCGCCCGCAGGGCCTCAGTCACCGCTGGATGGACAGTGTCATCACTGAGCCCCTGGCCAACCCTGTCTGCACCCCCAACCCAGGTTTCCCAAATCCAGACAAGGTCTCTGGCCCCTAGAAAGCAGTGAGGTCTGGCCTGGGACTGCTCCCCACCTCGGGAAAGCTCCTGCCCTTGAGCCTGGCTCAGGGTCCTCTCTGAGGCGGCCACAGGGCCCTCTGCAGTGTGCCTGCACATGTCCCTCTGTGGTCCACACCCCCTGCCCCCAGCTCACACTGATCAAGGCAGCAGCCGGAAATGGGCCACTCTATTTGTGTCCTCAACACCAGAACAGCCTGTGGTTCCATTACACCCACCCTCCGTCCCCACCCTCCACCCCGGCCACGCCACTTCCCCTGGGCTCCCAGACCTGCAGCCTCAGACCAGGGCTTGTTTTCCCTGCCTTTCCTACCCCCACCCCCACCACAGGCACCGCTGCAGCCTCCATCCCACCTTTCCTGCCACTGCTCAGTGCCAGGGCCTCCACCTCCAGCTGCCCAAACTTGACCCCTGGCCCCCTCTCCCAAATCCCTCCAAATACCCACTTCCTTCCACATCCAAAACAGTCCCCCACCCCCCGCCCTCACCCTCCACTCAGCCCAAGACTCAGCATCATCCAGGGCAACTGCAGCTGCCCCCACTCTTGTCCCCCAGCCTCCAGGCCACTCTCAGGCCCCGCATCCTCTCTGCACGTGGGCACAGTGGGAGATTAGTGCAGGACCAGCTGAAAGCCCTTCACGGCCATCTACCACCCAGTGACTCAGACCTAGGCCCAGAAAACACTACAGGGGCCTTTGGGCCCTGCCCCTGCCCCTGCCCCTGTCCGGCTGTTTCTCTGCAGACTCCACCCAGTATGACTGCACACACAAGCAGCCACCCACCTTGAAACAGGCTTCTCTCCCTCCAGCACCCTGACCCTCCACGTCTTGGCTAACTCTCCACCCACAAAACCACCCCTCAGGAGGCCTTCCTGGGCCCAGGCTGCATTCATCTCAGCTCCTGGGATCCGATCTGCAGTTGCCCTTTGGGGTAACCACCTATCTCCTCCCAGCCTCAAGGCAGGCCTGGGTCTATGGGCTGCATCCCACGGTCCAGCCAGGCCTGCTTGCCAGCAGTGGCCATGTGTCCCAGAATGCAGAAGGCCCACCCCACCCCACCCCACCCCACTCACCCTCCTCTTGGAAGACACCCCCCTGGACGAGTTTGAAGGACAGAAAGACGGCACCCTCCTGTTGCAGCGTGGTGGAATGGGGGGGCATGGAGCCTGGTGTGATGCCGCCAATGTCTGCATGGTGCCCTCGGCTGGCCACATAGAAAACAGGCCGCGTCTGACCCGGCCAAAACACCTAGCGGGTGGAAAGCCACGGTCAGCTACATCGGCCACCCCTGCCCCAGCAGAGGCAGGTGGGCAGCACCCCTCACCGGTGTGATAACAGTCAGGTCTGGCAGGTGGCTGCCCCCGGCACTGGGATGGTTGCTCAGTAGCACGTCGCCAGGGTGGAGATCAGCCCCCAGGTGCTGGATCTGAAACCAGGAAATGGGTGCAGAGTGGGCACAGTGGAGCAGGGGCCAGAGTGGGGTGGGGTGGAGGGTGAGGGAGGGGGATGGAAGGGTGAGGCGAGGGAGGGGTGGGAGGGCGAGGTGAGGGAGGGGTAGGAAGGCGGGGGAGGGTCCACCGCACCTGGAACTGCACCGTCTCCTGCATGGCACCCAGGTGTACAGGGATGTGGGGGGCATTGGACACCAGCCCCCCATCGGGCCCAAAGAGAGCACAGGAGAAGTCGAGGCGCTCCTTGATGTTGGTGGAGATGGCTGTGCGCTGCAGGATGCGGCCCATCTGCTCTGGGAGCACAAAGTGACCAGATGCCTGCTGGCCCCATCCACCCACAGCATGGCCCCAGGAAAGGAAGGAACAGGAACCACCGGGGCTCAAACCCAGAACCCAGCAGCTTTTTCCTGGGGAAGACCAAGGTGACCGTGTGCCCACTTGGCCACATGTCTTAGCCTATGTAAAGGACACCACCTTCCTCCCCAGTCCCGCCTGGAGCCCCCAGCAAGAACCCAGTGCCACTCCTCGACCCTCCCACCCTGCCTGGCACAGCAAGAACCTGGTTCCTAGGCTCTTGACCCCTGGGCTCCCAGCAAGCCGCTGGCCTGACCCTGCACAGATGGGTTCCCTGTGCTGCCCTCAGTATCTCATCCTTAGCTAGAAGTTCACTCCCCGGATCACATGGCTGCAGGTAAGAGGGGGAAGGTGTCCTCCTTGCCCAAGGCTTGTTCTCATGGCCAAATGCACCATGCCAGTGCTGCAGCCACACTGCCCGCCCCGTCACCAGGGGGTCCTGCTTCTGCCTCTCCCTTTGGGCACAGCCCTGCCAGCCACCCCATGACACAGCCGGCGCCTCATCCCACAGGGAGCCAGGCAGCAGGGAACCTGGCCGCAGCCACTCACCAGCAATGCTCATGAAGCGGTGTGAGAAGATGGACAGCTGGATAGGGTCCAGTTGGGTGCCCATTGTGCCAGGGACTTCGGCCCCCACAGAGATGCGGATGTCCCCTGTCTCGGTCACCTCTGCCTGGCAACCTGGCTCCACCAGGATGGTGCTGGGGAGCAGAGGGCACAGAGGGTCTGCATGGAGCCAGACGACACCCCTCCAACCAGAGATGCCACAGCCCCAGGCCAGGGGACACCCCAACGATGGTAGGACACAGAGTCCTGCAGGCCCCTGCAGCCTTGGGCCAGAGAACCCTGCACCAGGGGCCCCACGGTTGACCCCTCCATA